GGTCAGTCTGTATCTATAATGCCTAAAAAAATTTTCTTACTGATCACATATCATATCTGCATCAGGATTATATCTATATCAGTGGGCAAGCGATGTAGAATAAAACAATAATTACGAAATGACGTCACGGCCAAGTCATTAACTTTTGTTACAGCAGTTTCAGGTCATTTTTTTACGTATATGGTGACAATGAATCTGTCTAACCAATTTATCAATCACATATCCATGATTCGCTACAAAAACGTGTAAAGACGCTAAATTTTATTACAAACTTCAATGCTGCATCAAATATATTCATTCAACTATCAGAAACAATGTTAACTGCTGGTCAAGATGTAAGGGGTTTCTAGGTGACAGAAGCCAAGCAGGAGATTACTTTTTCTTATTGTTTCTATTATTCCAAATGAAGGGGCAGTTTTCGATCGTATGAGTTAATTGCTTGCATTTTGCGCAAAGCATATTCTGATAGTTTGGTTTAATCCGCTGAATGTCGTTGAAATCCGTGATGCTTGAACTGACATTAAGCGAGTGAGGTACACCTTAACACTGATAAATTTTATTAAAAATACCATTTTGCTATCTTGTATTGTATATAACAGTGCCTCGAAATTTGCTGTTTGTTGTTAGTAAAAGAAAGCTAATAGGAGAAAAACAAAGCAATTTTACTAATCAAATAAAGTTGACAATAAACAAAATATGCCTGAATAAGTGTTTGTCACATCACTCCTTGATGCAGCTAATGTAGTTAATGGCATTTTAACTGGGGCTGCAAACTTCACTCTGTTCGTAATTTCCGGTTGCATAGTACCAGAAAACAGTTCCTGTAACTCATTGCATTATTAATTACCAAAACAAATACTTCATCAAAAGTATACTAAAAATATGTAATCAAATCAAAATTTTTTTTAACTTTGGATAAAAATTATTATACGAAAATATATTACCGTTTGTGGCATTAATGGGCGAGAGAGATTAGTTGCAGATTTTCCAGTTTGCAGAAGATTAACTTTATGAAGTTCTGCTAATGCAAGCCTGCAAAGAAATAATGACAAATACATTGCGTACAGCGATAACTATGAACTCACTGAAGCTAGAAAAACTAGTACGAAAACATTGCCGCTTAGGTGGAAAGTCAAAAATGTCAAGCTTGATGTTTCGATAAGAGGTTCAGAATAATTCTAGCATTCATGTAGCTAACATGAAAAATTCTATTCATGTAGTGTACTTAGAGAGAGCTTTAAAAATAGCATAGTACCGGGTTTTTTCTCTTTCTTGCATGAGTTGAATTTGATATTCTCTCAGCAAACGGTCTTTCTCGGCCTGGATTTTGGCCTTTTCCGCTAAAGCCTGTATCTTCTCCTTGCGCTCAACAGCATTCTCATGCTGCAGCTGTAAATTTTCCTGCAGTAGCTTTTCCAATACCATTTGCTCACTGTACTCCTTTCCACTTAGTTGCTGAACATTCGTGCTTTTTATGTGCACCATCTTCGACAGCAAAACAGCAAATCCTTCATCAGCGGCATTACCAAGTTTGCTTTTTGTTTTAAATTTTCCAGTATATATACCATCTATCTCACTACTAATTATCAGTTTCTGATTCTAAAATCAAGTATTTAAATAATTATATACTGTAGGCAAATATAAGAGTTCACACTTAATGTCATGATTTAAATTGTGAAATAAATTATAAGCGCAGAAAAGTAAGACCATTTGGTTATGTTCAAAAGAGTTCATATACTGATTTATGCAAAATTCTCACCTGCTTTTCATTTGTTGCTGCAAGTTTCCAGCTATCTGAATCCAAAAAGCATAAAAATGATGCTTGTGGCGCTTGCAAAATGTATGAAGGCTAAAAAACATAAATGCCTACCTCTGATTAAAACAAAAACAATTTAAGTAAACAAAAAACATGTATTTCAATGGATGCGAACAAATGAATTACTCTTGGTTTACGTGTAAAGAAAGTAAATTTGCCTTAATCACCTGGTTTTTGAGACTGTATAAACGATCGAACGGACAGACTGTTTCGTGTCCAACGTCCACCAGATGGACTTTGCACAACTTTTTTTCTGGCATCACCTCCATTACATTCCCTCTGCAACTCAGAAGATTTTGAAAATCTATTTCAACTTTATTACTCAGCATACTTCAGATATGCTGAATTTCTACATTGCTATGAATATATTACACCTGTACAAAGTCCTTCGTATTAATGACGTGCTGCTTGAATCTTCCGGTAGATGAATAATGTAATATGTATTTGGTGCAGGAACTCCATTATTTTCAGGAAACTTTTGCAAAGTTCTCAAATCATAATGCTAAAATCCGCATATTATATGAAATAAGTATATACTTCATCAAAATTATATGATAATAATAGTATTGCAAAAATGATAGAGACAAAAAAACAGC